CTGAACTTCTCAAAAAATACTTTATTAAAATAGATTAGAAGATCTAACCCAGAATAGGCAGATCATATATAGCGTCTGCATGTGATACATGAAATGATTACACCTTCAGCCAATTTCATTACATGTAGATTATGTAGTCACAAAAAAAATAATTTATGAATATAGTTGAGATAAATAATGTTATTATTCAGTCGAAAATAATAGTCAAAATCAGTTAGTTAAACTACCGTGATTTCTGTTTCATCCTCCAATCTTAACACAATGCCTTTTGGTTGTTTTGCATATAGAGATGAGATAAATATTTTACTAGAGATTGGTGAAATCATTTCTTGGTTATCAGAGGTAACGAAAGCACTTACCATAGTATTTTTTACTATAGTTGCAGATTTGGCCTTGAAGCAAAAGTAATTCCAATGATTTTTCATTAAATCTTCAGACTCAACTTCATAGGCCCATCTCCCCTAGCCACTATAATATTCCTTTCTAGACTCTACTTCAGTAATCTTCACCAATTTCCAGCATTTGAAGCAAATAGCTATTTGACTTTTATGGATACTAGGTCTATGATATTGGAAGTAATCTTCATATAACTCACTATTAATATAGTATGTTTTGGATTCTACTTGCCCAAATAAACTGAAAAGGCAGTATACATGGTATAAACTATATTTTTGCTTAGAAAGTAATTCTTATAAAGGAGTCCTTATACGAATAGCCCATTACTAAGATATTTCATGAGGTCTAATAATGGATGAGTGATCATATTGTTTTACTATTTCAACTACTTTTTCATACCAATAGTTATCACCATATCATATCTGGGACGGAGATTGATAGGTTTAGGTATAGTTTTATTATAAATCTTATCTAATATGATCTTAACCATTGCACTGGGTATAATTAATAAATTAGTAATTTAGTGAATTATAGTGAATTAAAGTAAATTATAACAATTTATTAACTTATACAGTGCATATAACCTAGTCTCAACTATTAAATTTTAAAAAAATTTAAATTACTACTCCTTACTCAAAAAAAATGATAACATAAAATATAATTGTAAAATGGTAGAGTAGCTCAAGCTCAACAAAACTACGATTTTAGATTTTCTATAAAATGATTTTCAATGGAGCAGTAACAATTCAAAGTTAAGACATTTTACTAATAAATCAGATATTTTGATTGCCTTACACACGATACATATAATTAATATGCCTATCGTTGATTGGCTAATTTGTGCTCAAACACATTAAGTTAGATTAGATTGATCATATTTTAGTGTAACTAAATTGAGAATAAAACAATATTATCTCTTATTCTCTTTTATAAACGAATTATTTATTTTTAAATTCAAAATATAAGCCTTTAACATTTAAACGATGCATTTCTCTTCTTTATTTATTTGAAAAAAGGTAAAAATAAATATTCAAACAAGATAAGTATTCTAATTTTTAAGCGGTTTACTCTAATTGCTACTGTTGCATCATTTACATAATCACTAATATTCTTTTCTTTTGTCCATAGCTAGTATGAGTAAATATGCATCAAATGAAACTTTTATTCTAAGTATCAACTGATTGTAAAACTGAATCAGAAACCCAGCGATGTGAATGGTATTTTTTGACTGCAAATTCTGCTACCTGGCCTGTCAAGCCTTTTTGGTATACGTTCATGTAGCGAAATGCTTTTCTTACATACTGATGAATAGTTGTAAATGAAACAGAAGTAAGAGCCAATGAAACGGTTTTTTATAACCCTATCTATGAGTAATTGCAATGTGATCGGCTAAATTTCTTGGTTGCATCCCAAAAGTTCTCAATATAATTGAGCTCATAATGAAACTTGGGGTAGAATATAATTTGATGTCCAGCTGCAATAATAACCTCTTCTAGTTATCCTTTTTATACTAAAAAGTCTGGTTGTTAACTCATTATTTCTCTTGTTTCTTCCAATTTTAACCCTTTATTTAGTCATAATCCTCTTTTCATTAGAACTTGCTTTAAACCTTTTGGTTGTCCACACAATTCAGTAATATGATAATCTAATAGGAAGACCATGTCCTGTCAAATCCCTTCACTAAAATTTGTGCTGTGCATTTTTTGCTGTTTTCCACCAGGGCTGATATTCATATGTTTGATGATAAGCATGTCTGGAGAAAAAGCAGCATGACTTGATACATTGTCAAATGCAAACAAAGCCTGGCATTCTGGAAAGCGTGCTTCAAATATGAGAATAACACGTTCAACTACTTGTTTTACCAAGTCATCTGCTTTCCACCATCTATTATTGTTTTTGCCTGAATGCATAATGACACAAAATTCTTTAGGAAAGTCATCTGATGTCTGCATTTCGTCAGGAAGTGCAAGATAGCCACAAATATTGGTCAAAAAATTACTAATAAGAATCGAGCGACTGTTATCTTTTTTTCATAATGGTTGTTCACCATCGGGAATCCAAAGGCTTTGACTTCTATCATAAGCCGAGAAAATACACTCATCATGTATGATAAGGATAAGTCTTTGTATATTATTATCTGGCCAGATTATTTTTTCCAAATTGTCTTCTGAAAAAATAGGCATTCTATGCTCAAAATTATTCATCTGTTCTAAAAATATTTTCCTATAAACTATCACATCTTCTCTCTCATGTCTATCTATATATATACCCCTTTTCACCTCAACATATTTATATTCAAGTTCTTTCAAATAGTTCTCGCAGTATTAATATGAATAGTTGGAGGTGATACAAATCCAAGTCCTGACAAAATAATTTCGTTCATTTGCATCATTAGCATCTGTGGAGTAACATTCTACTTATGCTTTTGAACATATATTTTTACTTTATGAAGAATGTCCTCATCCCAGAGAAAGCTTCATGTTTTGACGTGATGTTCTCAACAAAAATAGGAAAATATGTTTCCTAACACATTCTGTATAAACAACGGGTTTATGAACACAATTTGTAGTTATTTTACAAAATTTTCTACCTTTATCTTCATAACAAATTTTATAATTTTTGTGGATCATTATATATTCACGTGCTCAAGAACGAATGAATTTAGTATAGAATACTCCTTTTCCCACTGCATTAGTAACCACTTTGCTTGCTTTCATTTTTGAATGGTTATATTTTACAAGTTAGAAATAAAAACAAATGCCATTTAGGCGTATCTAAACCTCACTGTTAACCTTTTCTTTTTTGATATCTAATTTCAAATTTTTGAGAGCATCTGGGATTTTATTATGCCAATTGTAATCTTTAACCTCATCATCCAAATGTTCATTAACCTTATCATCTGAATCTTCATTAATATCATTATCCACTTCTATATTATCCTCATCAGCTACCTCCTTGTCAATTTCCTCGTCAGGTTTCTTGACCTCCCAAAAGGTATGCAACTTAAGGGTCACCTTTGCTGCCTCACGCTGTTGCTGATTCTTCCGTCTTTTAGTGTATTTTGAATTCCCTATATAACGTAATGTATGTGCTTCATGGAAAGCATATTTCTGGTGGTATTTTTTTGCTACTTCTTGAAGTTTTCTTACAATACTTGCAGCATTATCATTTTCTTCTAGCTCATCATGAATAATAATATCATCATCATCATCATAACCATCTAGTTCATCATGAAAATCAACTTGTGTGCTTTTACTTATAGCCTTTGTTTTACAAGCCTTTCTTGATTGTTTTTGATGTTTAGTTGAATACGGCATATTAGTAAATTGGAAGTCTTCTCTAATGAAATCTAGCTAACAAATGATAAAGCATAAACCATACAGGTAAGTTAACTGCTTTATTATTTAATGTTGATTCTTTTTTTTAAAAAAAAGATTCTTCTAATTACAATACGCAAAGCAAGAAATTTATTATTTGTCGTATAGGAAAGGGAAACTGATTATGATTAGAATATGTATTTAAACTATTGTGATTGATTAATTACATTCAGATTACTGCATTAAATCGGGTTGATGTGATTCAGAATTTGCAATGATAAAATTACCCAATATTTGTTAACATTTTCAAATTTTTAGTTTATTTAACTAATGATCAATAAAAAAAATTCTTTTTATTTTTAACACTTGTTACAATTTATATATGTACTTGATTTAATGTTGATACCAAAAATCAAAAAACTTTAAATGCTTTATTAAATTAAAATTTCCATCACGCTTATCACGCTTATTACGTGTATTTGAATCAATAAAATTTTAAGGTTACCGTATTACGTAATAGAAAATCAATACTTCAAATTTGGCCACTTAAAAAATTTTTGGTTGGAACTAGGTTGTATGCACTATAGTGTTTTTATCGATTTTAGCTGATTTATCAATATTATACTCTAATAAATATCAAATTCATTTTTATTCAGATTTTTTTTGATTCGGCTTCTTTCAATCAAAGATCTTTAGGAGAAAAGCTTGAATTTCATCATCCCGAAGTTCTATGAACAAGGGCATATTACATGCGAGCTCTCTGCCAGTTTCTCGATAGTTCTAGGAGTGTTCCAGGCATTGGCAAGTATCTATAAATTACGAGATGATCAGCCAATCAGATTTTCTGTAAAAACTAAGAATGGATAACCTATTTTTTCTGATAATAAAGTCTGGACATGCAGTCTGAGCTCAGAAAAATTGTGCAGAAACATCCAGTTAAATTTATCTCTTGAAATCATGATAGCAGAGTCTGGACTGCTTGTCCAGGCTCATTAAAATTGCACAGAAGAATGAATTGTATGGCGTAGTATACTATGTCAAGTGATAATTTAGATCGTGGATTATTAGGAAAATTTATTACATATTCCAAATACATTAGATACACTCATACACTTTCACGAAGCAAATAAAAATATAAGCCCAGATTGTTAGGTGAACTTTATTAAAACGTTTTAGCCAAATGCTTCAAAAGAAAAAAGTTACCATATGACTCGCATGTTGCACAGTACCATTCTTTAACAAGAATTTTCCTAATGTCGTATTGCGCATTTCAGGTGATCGATCTCACATGACTAAGTTACCCTACTGCAAGTTCAAAAAAATGTGTACTCTCTATGCAATAATCTATCTACCGTAAGCTATGACGAATCTTTTCTAGGCAGATACAGATTATCGGATTCATTATTGGTAAAACCATTCTTTCATATCATCCGTCTCTATAGCTATTTTTGGATTAAAATCTAATTGATGGATCATCTTGTGATTTACGTTGTAACATCTTTATAACATACAACACTTTGTTAATACTACAACAAATCAAATATGTATTTTACAAATGCTTTGCCTATTATTTTTATTGATATATAATTGGTTTTTATCTGCAGTTATACATTTTGATACATGCAAAACTAAAATGCGAGTTAAATCCCAATATATTCTTTGACTGTTTGCTGTACCACCATAATTAATTTTCACACTGATAATGACGGCGTTAAATGTCTTGTTTGACTAACTTGAGCAACAAAGGTGTTGATTAGCTTGTATAAACATTGCGTTGTTAAGCCTAAACACTACGTCGTTAGGATAACAAAGCTTATTTGCTAACAAGGGGTTTAAGTGGTAAATTATGAAAAAAATAAACATGAATTTATTTAAGTTGAAGGGTCAGGTCGTCTTTATTAATGATTTATATTTTAAGGAAATAAATATTGGTAAAGATATAGTTTTTATGTTGTTAAGATTATACTTTATTAATTGTACAATAGAAACTTGTTAGTTTGTCAAGGCGATAATACAGAATATTTATATAAAATACAATTATAAGATAGAGATAATAAATATAATAATGAAATTAAATATAACTATGA